CCAAGTGCTGTCCTCAGACTCAGCTCATCTTCCCCAAGACCCACCACTCTGTCTCCATTCTTTCTCTTGGCTACTTCCTCCTTCCGTTTAGTCTTTGGAGTCATCTGGACTCTTCCTCTGTGTCCCTCCCTCCCTTCCTCAGGTGCAGATCCCTGTAGAAATGCAGCTCGTGGCTTCCTCTGGCAGCCCCGCCTATGGAGTAGTTTCTAGCTGCTCTGCCACACTGCCCATCAGAGCTCACCTGTGTTCCCTAACTTCCCGTGCTATTCCGTTCTTCCTCATTTCAGTCATCAGGTGTTTGCTGGGTGCCTGCTGGGTGCTGGGATGAGTGGATGTTGGAAAATGGTGTGACTGGAGAGAGTGGACAGCTGTCCCAGTCTCTTTGTTGTGGAGCTTTTACTGTGGAGGGAAGACTGACACCCAGAGATATGTGACATACCTGCTGCTGTGCCCTGAAAATGAGATGCAGGGGTGTGGTCCAGGGCATGGCCTCCTCAGGTGGGAGGTGAGGAGGGAAGAAACTAGGCGGGGTAGTTGGACAGGGACGTTCCACCCTATGGGGCAGGTTGGGGGGGTTGGGGGCTGAGCCGGCTCTGTCCCACGAGTGCATGCCTGGTCCCTGATTCTTGCCTGAGCTGTCATCCATCCATTCTCCCAGCCAGCCAGGGGCTGTCTGAAGCATGGGAGGGGGCTTTAGTTTGTTTTGTTCTGTGACAGTTACCAGAGAGGGAGCCGTGCCAAACAGTTTGCACTATGCAGTGAGAGTTGACAGCAAAAAACAATCATCCCACCCAGCATGCCAGCAGGGACCCCTTTTGAGAATTCCCCGCCAGGTCTGAAAACCTCGGTTCAGGAGTTTCTGGGGAAAGGATCCTCCTGTTGTTCTCATTTCATTCCCTTTGCATTCAGCCCTAACACCAACACAGACACTTTATACATGGGACCGGACTGCAACTTGTCTGACCCCAAGTTTTGATACCAGTTCCTGTTGTCTTACCTTTAAAACTGTTGCACATTTAGCGGCAGGGGCCATAGCTCTGTGCTGCTGGAAATACAGCACCGGCCTAGTCAGTGATATAAATGTGTGCAAAAGGAATGGCTTGGAGGCAGTCCCATGTGTTGACTTGTGTTTGATGACGTGGCTCTGCTCTTCGAGGCCCCCAGTGCACTTCCAACAGTATCCTCACAGCATTTTTCGTGATAGGTGGCATGGACAGATGAGGAAAATACTTCAGAGGCATCTCAGACATACAGTGATTTAGCTGGAAAGTAGCAGAGGCAGGATTTGAACTCAAGCCTCTGGCATAGGAATCCATACCCTTCCCCATCTGTCCTATGGCCTGCAGGGGACCAGGCTGCATTGTTTTCTTGAGCTTAAATTTGGGGCTCAGTATTCACTTCTTTGGAATTTTTTTTCCTCAGTGGTGCTGGAGATTGAACCGAGCACCTCCCTTAGGTGCTCTACCACTGCTACAGCCCCAGCTCTGATTTTTGCTTTTGTTAAGACAGGCCTGCCATTCTGGGTGGGTAGATTTTTTTTTTTTTAATTCTGAATTTACCTATTCCTGCTTCTCATCTTACATAAAATTGATAGCAAATCTTCTATATTGTTAGCCAAGTCAGCAGTAAAGTATGGTAATAAGAATACCTTATTGAGACCTGTTATCTCTGCCCTTTATGAGACTGTGTGGGTGGGGTTCCCAGGGTGAAGTTTCTGAGGGTGAGGCAAATCCGGCAGCTGTCTGTCATGTACAGAGTGGTCCAGAGGGCTTGGAGGGACTCGAGTTGGTAACAGAAGGACTCATCTTGGCTTTGTCCCTCTCTCCTGTCCCTCATTTTCGCTTTTGTCACCACTCCTTCCTCTGAGGCTTGCTGTGCCATAGGGCATCTGTCCTCCAGAACAGGTGAGGGTGGGCAGACCTCATGTTCAGGGGCTTGTTTCAGCAGAAGGTGCTGTGAAGGTGCACCGGGGTTGCAGGCTGCAGCCTGAACTTGGCCCCCCATCCCTGAGCTGTGTGGGAAGCAAAGGGGACAGCCCTACCTTCAGAGCAGCCTCATGTGAGGCCTGAGGACTGAGCCTGACTGTCCATGGTGTCACCTCTGCCTGTAGCATTTCTTCCCCAAGCCATTAAATTAAAACCTCCCCTGCTCTCCTCTCCCAAAGTAAGCAAACAGAGGTCCAGACACAAAAATTACCTCCAGAGAACTTTCCATGTGGCTGGGTTGGTCTCTGTCTGTTTACTGCTCAGGGTCCAGTTTCCCAGCAACAGGTTGTTTTGTATTTTTGGTTTTTTCCCTGTGAGTGTGGTCTCTTTGCTACCAGCGTGACCTCTTCATATCCAACTGTCTTGCCCTGGCATGGTGTTTACTGTGTCTGATTCCATCAGAGCCCATGGAGGGAGCCTCATCCCAGGAAGCACTTCTGCTTCAATTAATTTCACGAGCAGCTAAGCTAAAGTACTTCCATCTCCAGCATCTTTAGTAACAAAATGCCAGGAAACGTTACAGCAGTGATATTTCACTGAGACACCTTATTTAGAGGAATGCATAGCTTTTGAATAATGAAAGGCTTAAGTAGGTCATCTCTTAATGGTGGATGAATACAGCACTTGAAGGCTCTTTGTAGAATTAGATTAGATTGAACATAGCGGGTTTTGTTCTTTTTTTTTTTTATTTAGCTATAAGATGCACATAGGCACTGTCTTTGTCACTTTCATCTTTCATTATCACTGGGACAAAATACCTGACTGCAACTTTCAGATCCTGTTGTGCTGGCTTAAATACAGAAGTAGCTTGTTGGAAGGGTCTGGTGGAGAAGAGCTGCTTGCTTCCTGGTGGCTGGGAAGCAGATAGAAAAGGTGGAATTGCGGAGGGAGATAAACCCTTCTGGGTCACCCCCCCAATGACCGCCTCTTCCATCAGGCTCTCCCTGTAAACATCCCCGTGGTCCCATCTCTTTCTAAGAGCCCCACCTACCACTGTAGGAGGCTTTGGGGGAGGGACAGTTAGTGCCCCAGAGGCACTGATCATAAATCTGTCACTCATGGCCTTTTACATGGGTCTGTGCCCTGTGAGCACCATCCAGCTCTGTCATCTCCCAGACCCCCGGGGGCTTCCTCATGCCCTCCATAGTCAGTGGTTCTGAATCCTGCTGTGACTTGGATCACATTGATTGCTTTGGCCCTAGTAGCATAGCGCTATGTATGTCCAGGCACTAGCATCGATCTGTTTCATGTTCTGTTCAGTGACAGTTTTATATTTCTGGAAACATGCCAAGACCAAGAGGAAGACCTCCCATTTGCCCCTCTCCTGGAGACTGCATCCAGTTTGATCCCAGCTAGGTTCCTGGTAAAAGCAGAGCACTGATCCAGGGTCACTCACTGCCCCCGTTTGCCCTGGCTTTCGTCTCTTCTGCTCTGAGACAGCTCCTCCATCCTGACTCCTGAGATCTTGACACTCTTGAAGACTGTAAACCAGTCCCTATCACTTCGCAGGAAGCTTTTCAGTGTGAGTTTATGTTTCCTCCAAAAAAGCCCAGGTTAGATGCTCTGTTCTTCCTTTTATCACATAGCTCACAATGTCCAAAATTTCAGCTTTCCTCAAGCCAGAGTGCAGTATTGGCACCTTCAAAGCATGAAAATATAGTAGGTTTGGAAGCTGGTCCAGCCCAGGAGTTGGCACCCACCAGCCCCTGGGTCAGGTCCTGACTGGAGTCTTTGTTTTTGTGTGGCCCAGGAGTGGGGAATGATTTCTACATTTTTCAAGGGTTAAAGAAGTGCGAAAAAGAAGAACAGATGACAGGAATTGGCCTGCAGCGCTCACAGTGTTTACCATCTGACCCTCTTCAGGGAACGCTCTTCAGCCCAGGCACAGTAATCCAGTATATGCCTGAATGCCCTCTCTAATGGAAAATTCATGGTCTCCCTGACCAAGCGCTACTTGGACAACTCTGTGATGTTTAAGCTGTATTGAAATTTGCCTGACTGTAGCATTCATCTATTGGCCTGTTGTGGGAAAAGGGAGCTATTATTTCTATGGCGACACTTACTGAGCAACTACTATGGGCTGGAGAGAGGCACATAAGCTATGGTTCCCATATCAGACATCTCCCAGGTGTTACTTCTGGGAAGCAAAACCCTTGAGTTGGTAGTTTTTTGTTTCTTGTTTTTTTTTTTTTTTTTTTTTTTTTTTTTTTTTTTTTTTTTTTTTTTTTGAGACAGACTCACTATATAGTTCAGGCTGGCATCTGTCTTCCCACCTCAGCCTCCTGAGTGCTGGGATTACAGGCGTGTACCACCACGCTCTGCTCTTTAAATCAGGCTTTGACAGAAATTGAGGATAAGCGCTCCTTCAGCAACAGCCTCCAGGCTCCCACTCAGAGTGTAGCTCTTTTCAATTCCAAGAGTCTGAAATTTGACCCAGGTTTGGGTGGTAGGCACAGCCCCAGGGGGTTTGTGCTGCTTAACTGCCTGCCCTGCTGTTTCAGTTTGGCCTTGACTGTTTGCACTGCTGCTGGCTGCCTGCACTGCTCGGGTTCCTGTCCAGCACGGTGTTGAGCCCCGTCCAAGCCCGACCTCTTTAACAGGAAGTGACAGTCCCATCCCATGTCGCTCTTGGGCTTCACATCCTGAATGTGATGGAACCATTTTCTGTAAAACTGACCTTTGCTCTCCTGGAGGCCTGCACCTGTCTTTCCTTGTCTGCTGTCTGGGTAGTACAGGTGAGTCTTGCTTCTCCAGTCACAGGCCAGTTGCAGATAAGGACTCTGCTGCCAGGACTCACTTCCTGATTCCCTTGGACCATGACTTCTTTTTTATTTTTCTCAGTGCTAAGCACTGAACCCAGGTCCCTCGCATTGCTGTGCGAATATTCTACCACTGAGCTACATCCCTAGTCCTATTGCATTTTATTTTATTTTATTAAGACAGGGTCCCGCTGTCCTGTCTCAGCCTCGCTTGGATGGCAGGCATGCGATTGCATACTCACTTGACCTTTGCTTCTTGCATCTTCCTTGCGGCACCAGGACTGCAGTGACACGTCACACACCCATGCCTGGGCCCCTCAGCGAGTCCTGACTGTGACGCACTCCTGTGTCGATGTTTCCGGCAGGACCTTTCTGTCTTCCCAGCCTGTGCGGCGAGCCTCAGCCTGCCCTCTGGTGAGACCAGTTCTTCTGTTGCCTTGAGAATTTCTCCAAGGTCATGTGTATCCTAAGATGTTTGAAGGCCAAGTCTCTGATGCAAATGACCTTCCCAGTTTGTCTGTTTGTGTCTCCTTATCTTTCTCCTGTGTGGACTTGTTTTTCACCTTATGAAGTATAACTGCTGTTCCATCCCAGTTACTTTCCCCAGCTGCGCAGGAAGTTTTCTTTTTTGACTCTGGAATCTTCTGGCACTGGGAACACTCCATCTTGATGGCTTGGGCAGGCAATCCACAGTTGGGAGGACATGGTTTAGTGCTGTCATTTCAGGGCAGCTGGGGACCTGGGCGTGTCCCACCTGATGGTCCCTTCTCCATCAGCCACCGCATTGATTTCTTTATGTGTGGGATGACTGCTCTGCCCCTGGCTTGCTTTATTTATTTCTTCCCTTTTGCTCACTTGTTTTGACTCTTTTGGAAAAGAAATTAGCGTGGACATAAATTTTGAAATGATTGGTTATTTTTTAGCTTATGTGGGGCTGATGGGCAGAATAGAGGCTCCTAATAGGCTGTAGCCTGGAAATGAGAGAATCTTTGAAGCCAGCAGGCCTAGGTTACAGTCTTCAGCAGTGCTGCTTCCTGTGTGACTATGGGCAAGTCACTTAACCTCTCAGTGCCTTAGACTTCTCTTTTTTTTTTTTTTGAGACAGGGTCTCACTATGTTGTTCAGGCTGGCTTTGAACTCACTGTGTAGCCAAGGCTGGCCTGGAACTTGCAAAGATCCTCCTGCCTCAGCCTCTCCAGTGCTGGGATAACAGGTGTGAACCACCATGCCCTGCTTTTCTGGAACACAAGCATGACGTCACCACTTTGGGGTTGTCATGAAAATAGGTAAAACATTTTGTGGCGTGCTAGGTATGAATTACCATCGAGTAAGAACAATTACAGTTTCTGCCACTGGTTGAGTTTTTGTAAAGGTGTTCTCAGAGAAGCAGGCACAGTTCATGGTGGCAAGAACCATAATGAAGTGTTCATCAGTCATCATGGATCAGGGAGCTTGGTACCCGAGTGGTATGTGGGAAAGTCAGCTTCATGTGGGACTGAAGAGGCAGGAAGAGTCCCCTGGAGGGCAGAGAAAGGTCTCCCAGGAGCATCAGCTCAGGGTTAGGGCTGGGGTACAACATCTTCCTGCTAGGCCTGTGCTGTCATGTGGGTTTGTTTGTTTGAAGGAGGGAACCATTGTACACATTGATCCTGGTGGCTGAGGGCCTTCTTGTTCAGGAATAGAGGACTGAGGCAGCAATCTCGCAGGTGTCCCTGTAGGCATGGAGGTAGGGACAAATGGAGCCACGTGTGGAGTGGGGTCAGGGGGAAGCGTACAACTGGGAGTGCGGGTCTCGCGTAGGCCTGGGATTTTAATCCTGGCTCCTGCTGACCGCTGTAGCAGGAAGGTGCATGCCTTATTCTCCTGGCCTATTTCTCTCTCTGTGAGGGCAGTGGGTGCCATACTTCCCAGGGCTCCCTGTGTCTGGTCCAGCCTGGCCAGTGCTTAGTGCCTGCTTCCTTGTCCTAGGGCTTTGGGATAAGGGTGGCCTGCATGGATTAGTGCCTTTCTGCCTGTGAGGGAGACACAGATGCTGACTTGGTTTCTGCCGGGGACCTACAACAAGGCACTGTGTGTCCTGGAAAGTTCACTAGAGTCCAAGGAAACGTCCCTTTTGAAAACATCTGTTTACTTTGGCCTGTGAATCTGTGATGTCTCAGACATCCAAGTCCTGGCCATAAAAGGAATTTAGATAAATGCTTGGAGGTTAGGACTGGAAAGAGTCCTGAGATTGGTTGGAAATTGATTGGAAAGTGAAGAATTCTGTTTCGGGAAATGCTTATGGCACTGGACGGGGTTGAGCATAGAGCCCTTCAGACACTGGCAACAGGAAGAAAGCTGCAGCCACCTGTGGAGGAGGTGGGGAAGGAAGACTGAGGCACAGGTGACAGAGCAGGAGCAGGATGGCAGCAGCCTCTAGGCAGGGCCTCAGGGCTCCGCTCCCCACCAGCTCTGCAGAGACCTGGGCAGAGGCGAGGAAGTCGAACAAATCTTTGGGACAGTTGAAAGGCCACATGTGTTTTGCATGGCAGAGGTGCATTCATGTACTCAACATGTGATTTGGAGGTGGAGATGATGACCTGCGGCCAGACGTCAGCATCACTGGGGGCTGGTCACATCCACGGGCTTCTGGCCACACTCCTGCCCCTTCTCCCCTGGACAGGAAGAATGGGGAGCACTCACCTCGTTTTTGACACGCCCTCGATGTTGTGAATGTTTGAAAGCCTTTGGTCGGGCACTGGAACCCTGCTTAGAAGCAGAGAATTGCAGGAACAGCAATGCACTATCCCTTGACATTCATGAAGCTTATCAACTTTATAGGAAAACATTTCATTTTTCTTCCCACCTCTTGTTTTCTGTTTGTTTTTCAGAGTCCGTTAGGCCTCCATTGTGAACTTTTCATTCATTCCCAACTGGGCTTCTGTTGCTAAATTGTGCAGAGCGTTTCCAGCTTCCAAGGCAGAGTCACCTGCCCGCTGGAGCCTCAGACACAGCCAGGCCCAGACCTGCGGATGTTGTGGCTGCAGCCTGGCTTCTTCTTCTTCTTTTTTTAAACAGTTTTCTCTCAAATTGTGGTTTAGAGAGCCACCACTGAGCTGCTTTTAAGCACTAAAATCCAATGGCATTGACTGGTCATTTTCTTTGCCTTGTGGAGCGCTTTCATCATTAATCTTCTTGGGTTTATTGCTGTGGGCCGATAAACACATGTTCCCACTCCTGCTAATAAACAGATGCTCTGTGCTGGCTTACCGACCGCTGCTGCTTTCATTGGTTGTCCTGCAGGTTTCCTTCCTTCCGGCCCCTGCCTGTGGACCTGTTCTAGGTCGTGCTGGGCCAGGGCTTTTCTCCAAAACACCAGTCCTCACCTGCTGGAGTGCCTCTTCTCCACTCTGGGCCCATCTGCCCGGCTGCCACAGTTTCCTCAGGCCAGCCTCTCTTTTCCCTGCCTTTGTCCATGCTGGACATGTCCTTTGTGTGAGGTTATTATTATACTTCTGAGCCTTGCCCCTCAAGTGTCTTTTTTTTTTTTTTCTGGTGGTACTAGGGATTGAACCCAGGGCTTTTGCACTGAGCTACATTCCCAGCCCTTCTTATTGGTTTGAGATAAGGTTTCATTAAGTCACCCAAGCTGAGCTCAAATTTGAGATCCACTGGCCTCAGCCTCCCAGATGCTGGGACTACAGTGTGCCTGGCTCAAGGGTCCTTTTCTTTTTCAGTGGAGCCTGAAGGGCTTTTCCCCTCTGCCATCCCCTACCCACAGCCCCATGGTACTGGGGATCAAAGCTCAGGTCTCATTCACGCTACACACAGGCAGTTCCAATTTAAAGGAACTTGTCAGCAAGACTCATTGTATAATAGTGTTTGCAGTTGGGTGGATTTACTGAACATGTGTTACTGCATTCTTGTGACATCTTTCCTAACCAGCCTGCAGAATCCAGATTCAAGTCTCTTTGCAGTTATGACCACAGCAAATGCTCCCCTGTTAGCTAAATGCCACATGGGGATAATTCCTGGTAAATCGTCCCACAGATCACAGCCAAGGCAGGCGTGCTCTCAGTGTTCCCAACTATGGACAGACTCTATCACTGGCTACAGAAGGGATACTCAGTGATAGATCTTATCTGGGCATTTTGTATGAAATTTAACTATTTTGTTGGATGAGGGCTGTGCCTTGAAATCTGATGAAACCTATTTTTAATGTAAATTTTTAGATATAACCTAAACTGTGTTTTTTCTGTTTTGTGGTACTGGAGGTTGAACACATAGAGTGGTGAGCTATATCCCCAGCCATTTTCATTTTTTTAAAATTGTCTTCCTACATTTTTTATTAGTATATTGTTGTTTCTACAGACCCATGGATTCCATTTTGGCAGATTTGTACATGCATTAACATACTTCTTTAATTGACCTCCCTCTCCCCCGCTGTTGTTTTCACTTTGAGACAAGCTCTCACCAAGTTTCCCAGAATGGCCTCAAACTTCTGATCCCCCTGCCTCAGCCTCCAGAGTGAGTACTGGGGTTATGGGTGTGCCCAACCTCACTCAGCAAAAGTATGTTTTCAGAAATATTAAAAAAAAAAAAAAAAAAAAAAAAAAAAAAAAAAAGGCACAACAGTGCACTCCTGTAATCCCAGCACTAGGGAGGCTGAGGCAGGAGGACTGAAGCAAGTTTGAGGTTAGCTGGGCTATATAGTGAGGCCTTGTCTCAAAATCATAAATGAATGGTTTTTTTTCTTTTTCCCTCAAAAGAAATTAAAGTTCTCACAAATTTAGAAGGGAAAGAAGGGCCTACTTTTTTATTCATTTTTTCAGGATTCTATTTAAATACAAGCCTCATTTCAGTTCCATGGTTAGCAAGGTTTGAAAGATGCTTTTTATTTTTTAGTCTGACTTGACAGAATCAGACTGATACATCATAAACAGTGCCCTTGGGACCAAGGGTCTTGGGTCACATCTATAATCCCAGCTCCGGAGAGGCTAGGGTGGGATAGTTTAGTGAGATCCTGTCTCAAAACAAAATTTAAGAAAGCCTGATGGTCCAGGGATTTAGCTCAGTGGTGCCACCACCTGCCTTGCAAGCTCAAGGTCCTGAGTTTGATCCTTGGTACCAAAAGAAAATTTTTTTTTAAGAAAGCCTGAGGGTGTAGCATCAGAGTGCTTGCCTGGCATGAAGCCCTGGTTTTACTCCTACAAGTTAAAAAAGAATCAATAAAGGACTCTATATAAAGGTTTTCTAAAATAAAGAGTCTTCAATCTTGCTAAGTTGATATTATTGAATTTACTTTTATATTTAAATTTCTATACAATTTATTTTCTAGAAACTTGCCACACTTTACATAAAAGCAACACATTTGGTACTGAGTTCTGTTTGATTTTTATTAGATTAAATGGAAGCCAGATGTGGTGGCACATGCCTAAAATCCCAGCACTGGGGAAGCTGAGGCAGGAGGATAGACATGAGTTTGAGGACAGCCTGGGCTACATAGTTCAAGGCCAGCCTGAACTATAGTAAGACCCTGTCTCAAAAAAAAACCAAAATTAAATGGAATGTAATTAAATCAAGTTATATAAGAAGCCTATTTTAAGTACCGAGTAAAACAAATCATTGAAAATATGTCTAGTTTATTGCATGGTGGTTGGATTTTCATACTTTTTTTCTTTTTTTAGGGGGAGTGCTGGGGTTCAGACCCAGGGCCCTGTGTGAGATAGGCTTGGGTTCCATCGCTGAGCCACACCCACCCTTCATGACATTTTAAGAGTTGGAAGGTGTATTTTCTGGTCAGATGTAAAGGAAATGTTTTTAAAATTTTGTTATGACATTAAGCTAGTATATTGAAAAAAAAGTGGTTAGTTGACTCTCAAAGTTAAAAGTTTGTTCTTAATTAAATGTTGTGGAAGTAAAAAATGGCCTCTAGAAGGTAGTTAATTCATAACAGAATTTATTTTTCCGGTACTGGGCATTAAACTGAGGGTCTTTGTGAGCTACATCCACCACACCACCCCCCACCCCCAATTTTATTTTGAGACAGGATCTTGCTATGTCCCTATGTTGCTGGGCTACTTGTGACCCTCCTGCTTCAGCCTCCCAGAATGATGGGATTATAGGCATGTGCCACCATGCCCGGCTCATAAGAGATTTTAAATAAATCATTTGCAAACATAATTGATGTCATGCAGTTAGTTTTCTATGTAACAGGGAGACTAAGGAAGTTTAACCAAGTCATCCAAACCTGTCATTGATGTGTTTATATATCCAGTATGTGAAGGTTGGTGAGGCTGAACTCACAAGTTGTAAACAGATTCTCTAAAGATAGATACATAGCCAAAGCCCAGCATAAAAATCTCTTTGGTAAACACAGGACTCGTGCTGTGTTCATTTTCTCTTTTCCTTTGGCATAGAGGACATTAGGATTATAATAATTGAACACTGTTCTCAGGGACAGTTGGAAGCTAGCCTAAGAGTTCTGCTTAAACTGATGTCACCAGGAGCCAGGTGCTTCATCCCGACCCCCTCCCACTGGGCATGGGGGGCGGGGTTTGCACCCTGCTGGTGTGTAGGGAGGTCAGAGGTTATTGCACTGCCTGCACCATTGCTAGGGGGCCACACCTCCTTGGTGATCTGAGGGGGAAGGGAAGCATTAAAATATAAGAGCACCAAGACCTGTCATGTAAAGGTGCAAGATCCCAATAATGAATGTAACTGTACTGTATGCTTAAAATGTACCAATAAACTCAATGAGGAAAAAAAAAAAACTTGTATGAGCTTCAAAGACACATTTCAAAAAATACCTATCATGGGGTGGAATGCAGAATTTCCCTGCATTTAAAAGCTAAAACTCGAGCCAGGTTCTAGACACACGTTTGTAATCTCAGCTACTTGGGAGGCTAAGACGGGCATTGCAAGGTTGAGCCCAACCTGGGAAACTTAGTGAGACCCAACACATTTAAAAATACCTATCATGGGGTGGAATGCAGAATTTCCCTGCATTTAAAAGCTAAAACTCGAGCCAGGTTCTAGACACACGTTTGTAATCTCAGCTACTTGGGAGGCTAAGACGGGCATTGCAAGGTTGAGCCCAACCTGGGAAACTTAGTGAGACCCTTTCTCAATCAAAAGAAAAACATGAAACTTCGGAGATTCAGAGGTGAGGAGAAACTTACCCTTCTGCCAGACCTGCAGTCCTCCAGCCCTGTGGAGTGTTGCGTTTCTCACTGGCAGGACTTCAGAGTTTAGTTTTGTATGGGTCACCAGGACCTGGGGCCTGACTGTCTCAAAGGAGTCCCAGGAAGCGTCAGTCAGACTGACTCTGACAGGAAAGCAAGATGAGCAGAAGTTAAGGCTGGAGCCTGGTACAGCTGTGGGGAGCGCTAGCCTGGCCTGTGTGAGGGCCTGGGTTCCATCCCCAGCACTGCAGAACCACCCAGGCAGCCAGGGCCAGTCAGAGCTACTGTTAAAAAACATCTCTTATGCTGTGATGAAACTAAACTTGACCATACAGCAGATGACCTAGCGTGGCCTTCAGAGTTCTCAACTAACACAAAACAAGCCAGTCCCAAGAACACAGTTATATGGTTCTACTTTACAGGAGGACTGAGATCCTCCAGCTCAGAGCAAGAGTAGAGCAGTGGGAGCCAGGGGCTGGGGCGGATTGTCCTTAAAGGTATAGAGTTCCACTTTTGCAAAATAAAAAGTCGGAGGTCACTTTCACATACCTGATATTTGTGAGCCATATGCTTTGAAGCGGTCAAAATTGTTTTTAAAATCGCGTTTTTAAAAAGGGTCTCCCATTAGCCTGCGTGCCTCTCATTGCATTTTTTTGTTTCATTTTTTACAGCGCTGGGAATGAACCCGGGGCCTCACACTGGCCCTGAGCCTTACCTGTAGCCCCTCTTTCTGTTTGTTTGTTCATTTGTTTGTTTGTTTGTTTGAATTAAGCATTTTTCACAAACATTCTTTCTCACTGAGTTTTGTGTGGCCGTGTGACTTTTGTATATTCTCTTGTGTTTTTTGGTAGGCAAATGAGTGGCAGCCATGGGGGACCCTGGACTCCCCAAACTGCAGTTCGCCCCCTTCAGCAGCGCCCTGGACGTGGGCTTCTGGCACGAGCTGACACAGAAGAAGCTGAATGAGTACCGGCTGGACGAGGCTCCCAGGGACATCAGGGGCTACTACTGCAATGGTAGGCGGTCGAAGCTGCCTGGCCTCCCCTCACCCGCCAGCCTCCACTTGACAGACCACACCCAGCCCTCAGTGCTCTTTTATTTTTATTCATTTTTTAAGTGCTCCTTTAGAAAGGGTCATGTCTGTTCTGTTCAGTGCCCCGTGCTCGGTGCTCTTTTCCTGCCCGCCTTTGGCACATGTTCATTTTTTAATTGCACTTTCCCTTGAGAAAAAGGAAAGGTGTGAAACGCCCTGGTTACCAATCCAGACACTGAGTTCTCAGCTGGTGAGTGTTTTAGGGTTCTCATAAATCCCTCCCATTCCTGAGAGCCCTGTGCCGTTCCACCACCATCTGTGCAGTGCAGATCTGCAGAACAGGGCACTTGGGGCTCAACACAGAGCCCGTACAGACATTTCTGCCATGGGGCTGCAGTCATTGACTTGTTACTGAGATTGCTGATGCTTTTGTCCAGGTGACTCTGCTGGGCTTCCGGCTCGCCTCACGTTGGAGTTCAGTGCTTTTGACATGTGAGTACTTGCTTGCCCAAAATCTGAGGTAAAGAAAACCTTGCTTTATTGAGAAAAGAGCTGGCTCGCTTCCTCAGAGCAGGACCGCAGGAGGACGTAGGGGTGCCTGGGGTGTAGGGAACAGGGAAAGGGGACATTACTGGAACCTCTGCAGTAAGTCTCCTGCTAGCCACGGCAGTGCCAGGTGAATTAACTTATTAGACAGAAAAGATAGAAAAAATGAGACTTAGAGAAGGTGCTGCTCTGGGCAGCAAAGACAAAAGCCAAAAGTGCCCCCCGCAGGCCTTTATCAGTGCATCAAGAGAAACAAATGTAACAGATGACTCAGGGCATAGAGTTCAGTAGTTGGAGAGTAACAAATGTAAAGGGGCACTCAGAGGGCAGTAGCTGCCAAAATCATCCTAGAGTAGTGAGGAACTATGCAGGTGAAGATTTTGTTCCTCCCGAGATACCTTTACCTGGTCTAATCTTGCCCCTGGAGCATCCCAGCATCACCCGACCATTGAGGTTTTAGCTGTGACTCGAGGCCAAAATGGAGTCATATCTCGAAAGGCCAGAGCTGGCCCGTAGGCAGGAGGACTAGGCCTGATCATCATTTTAATTATGAAATGATTTTACTCCAAAATTATGTAGAATTGCTCCCGACACTGGGGTAAATAGTACCTTTGGAGTCTCTGGTTCCCCAGAGACAAGCGGTACCTGCCTAGGACCACCTGGGACTAGGTTAAGAGCACATTAAGATGCCAGGTACTAGGTAGGTTGATTGACACACAGCATCCTTCCTGGCTTTGGTTGTAGTTTGTTTTATTTTATTTTTTTCAGCTTTAATTGAGTTTATTGGTACATTTTAGGGATACAGTACAGTTACATTCATTGTTGGGATCTTGTACCTCTACATGACAAGTCTTGGTTCTCATTTTTTCCCCTTATCCCTGCCCTCCTTTCACCCCCTCCTCCCCTCCCCATCTACAAACACTTTATTTCCATCTTTTCATTATCTCACATTTTTTTCTTTTCCCTTATTACCCTTCCCCTACCCATCCCACCTTGTTTTATTTATTTTGAGGGGCAGATACTCTCTATGTAGTTCAAGCTGGCCTTGTAGTCCACGTTGACCTCTTAGTCCAGGCTGGCCTTGAACTCATGGTGACCCTCCTGCCTCAGCCTCTCAGGTGTTTGCCACCACACTGGCTCTAATTTTTATGATTCTTCATCGGCACCTCTTGCCTTATCCCTGTAGATGCATATCCATGGATGTCAATCAGTGAACCCTGCTTAGTCAGCTTCTATATCTCAACTACTATGCAAGGCATTGTGGGGGAAATTCCAAAGAATCTAGTTCAACACCCTGGAGGACCTGCTTTCCCAGAAGCTGTAGGGAGTCACTTGAGATAAGAGAGACATTTAGTGAGCCCTGTAGTACCTGAGCATTTTCAGATGCAGAACTCTTAGACCAGCCAGGTAGGGCTTTTCTCTGTTTTTCAGACAAGGAGATCATGCACAAGTCAAAGGTCAAAGGTCACACTTTGCTAAATTTAGGGAGAGAGAAGAAGGAAAAGGTACTCTGAAGGGTAGTTCTGAAATCCAGTCGGAACAGCAAGGCAGATTTATTGTCTTCTGCCAAAGCAGGGAAATTTGGAGAGGGTATGATTTTAGGAGACAAATCTGCCTGGGTAGCAACACAAGGACCACTGGATGGGCCATCTGTGGCTCCGGTGAGCTCATTGTTTCAAACTGACTTACCAGAGGGTGGTGTGGTAGCCATGACGAGGGGCTCTTGGAGGGCTGAAGAGTTGAAAGCTAAATGAAGCCACTTCTGAGCCCTGGCACCTGAGCAGTGTCAAGACAAGGGGGCTGGGGGATGTAAAGGGTGCTTTGTGAGGACTGCCCAGCTTTTCAAAGTGGCAGTAGTCAGTGATTACTGTATTTCAAATAAAGCACTCTTAGACTTTTGCTTGTTTGTTTATTTATTTATTTATTTATTTATCTCAAGTAAGGACTCAATACATAGCTCAGACTGGCTTTGAACTCAAAATCTTCCTGCCCCTGTCTTCCAAGTGCTGGGATTGCAGAAGTGTGCCACCACATCTGGCTTCCCTAGAATTGTTTTTAAACATCTCAACAACAACAACAAAAATGTATTTTATTCATTTACCTCCATTAAATTGCAAAATTTTAAAGTATAATAGAAGTCTGAAACAAGGTTAGTTTTTATGTATATTGAAAAAGTACATGTTGGCATTTCCTTTTCTCTTTAGAGCTTTCTTGCTCTATTATAAATTCCTTCAGATTACTTTATCAAGACAAATCCTACTAATCTCCCTCTTGTTTTTGGCAAAGACTAAGTTACTCTTGGAGCAGTTATAATTTGGGAAATGCTGAAAATGTTGAAGTATTAAATTGTCTAAAAAGGAGGAAATGTAGCCAGCTGGTTTTTGTGCCATCTAAAGTCTTTTTTTTTTGATACTGGGAATCGAACTTGGGGACCTTGTGCTTGCAAGGCAGGCAGCGGCACTATTGAGCTAAAGCCCCAACCACGAGAAGTCTTTTTGGACTTTAATTTTTATTAGTTCCTGTTGGCAGCCCGTAATGGTCACATTCCTCCTGGGGAGCTGGCAGTGTACATGATGCGTCTTCATTCTTTTTACATCCCCTTCCCTGTATGTGCCTCCCCCTGTAATCCCGAGTCTTTTGTTCATCTCAAACTGGCTTTGCTCCTATCTTTATCCCCATAGTCAGCTGAAATTTTTTCATTTTTAGGATATTAATAATTATATCTTTGGAACACTAGTTATAAAAAAAGCAGTTCACGAAAGTTAGGTCTGACAGATACTATTACAGAACTCAAGCACCTTCAGTTGGAGTAATGGAGAAAGTTCAGTAGAGAATCTAAGGTCCTGCACAGTGACTTCCCCAAGCGTTTGGTCTCACTGGGTGCGTGTCTTCCTTTAACCTTCGTGCTCCCTGTGCATGAGGCCCCGTGGCAGGCGGTGGGAGGAAGCAGGAGGAAGCATGGTCCCATTGCTGAGAAAATGTCCCTGGATTTGAAGTTTGAAGACCTCGTCCCTACTGCTAATTAACTGTGCTACCTCCAATAAGTCTGGTAGTTTTTTTTTTTT